TGCCGCTAGTATGGGGCATGTCTACTAAACAGTGCTAACTGTTAAAAAAAAAGCTCCCCCTCCAATAAATGGCCATATAGTGGAGCATCTATTAACACAGTGCCCCCCCCCTCTTTTAGGGCCCCCACCCGCCGCACATAGGTAGGGGCTGTGGGGGACAATAGGTCCCCCATGTTGTTATTTAGGGCCCCCCAGCTGCCGCTCATGGGTAGGGGCCTGGGGGCAATAGATCCCCCCTATGTCCCCCGTTTATTTGAATAGGTGGGGAATTGGGGGGACTCTATGTCCACCCCCACTAGTTAATAGATACTTTATTTTTAATCTACTTTATGCTAATATGGGGGGTCATATTGACCCCCATAGAGTGAGGGAGGACATGGTGGGGGGAGGGGAGCATAGGAAGTGCGGAGTGCACAGCTCCCTGTCGCTTCTATTTTTACATATTACAAGGAGGGAACTGCAAGTCAGTAGTTCCCTCCTTGTAATAAACAGAGCGAACGAAACACTGATATTCAGTGTTTGTTTGTTCGTCTGAAATTTGTATTCATTCATCTTTCTGACGAATGATTGGACGAAATTCCCAAATTTCGGACAATAGCGAATGCCTAGTATTTAACTGGGCCTACGCGGGAATTTTACAGTGCTATCTAGCGTGGGCAGATGACGTGTCCCATAGGGCTTTCATCTGCCCACACAAAGATGGCGACGCCCAGGACCTAAATCCAGGCACAAAATAAAGATGAAAATTTAGGTAATATGGGGGCTTAGGGGCATTTGGTGGTGACTACGGGGGAAATTGGATGTAGTGGAGTTGGGAGGGGGGTTAAAAAAAAAATGGATGTGGTCATGACAGTGCCACTTTAAAACCACCTGCCTAATATCATGTAGGTCCTCCTCATGCTGCAATGACAGGTTGTACGTGGTCTGCAACAATCTCTAGATAGGTTGTATTTGTCAAAGTAACATCCACATGAATACCAGGACCCAAGGTTTCTCAGCATAACACTGCCTCCTCCGGCTTACCTTTTTCCCATAGTGCATCCTGTTGCCATCTCTTCCCCAGGTAAACAACGCACACGTTCTGTCACCTGGCCAGTTTTTCAGCAATTTAAACTACAGTAACTCTTCTGTGTATTCGTACCAGGTGGGCTAGCCTTTGTCCCTAAGTGCATCAATGAGCCATGGGCGCCCATCACCCTGATTCGGTCCACTGGTTATCCTTCCTTGCACCACCTGTGGTAGGTAGTAATCACTGGATACTGGGAACACCCCACAAGACTTACCATTTTGAAGAGAATCTGACCCATCACTATTTAGCCTTTGTCAAACTCAGTCAGATCTTTTCACTTGCCCATTTTTCCTTCTTCCAACATATGAAATTCAAGAACTTACTGTTCACTTGATGCCTAATTTATCCGACCCCTTGTCAGGTGCCATTGTAACGATATAATCAATGTCAGTGATTTAAATGTTGTAGCTGATAGGTGTATAGGGGGTACGTCTTTAGGAATCCAAGAAAGTGACAATTCCCTTTGAAAGTACTTAACCCCTTAAGGACACAGCTTCAAAATCTTGACTTGCACTTAAGGACACAAACAACATTTGCTGTTTGCGTTCAACTGCAATTTGCATTTTACTAATTTATGGCACCAACACATATTCTATACTGTTTTTTAAAGGACAAAAAGGGCTTTAATTTGATGTCACATATACATATATAAATGCTTATTTATTATAAAAAAAAATACAAAAAAATACAAAAAAATGAAAAATATTGTTTGTTTTTACAGTTTTGGCAATAATAATGTGTGCATAATTAGTGCAGGTTAAGGAAAGTAATTACAAATAAATTAATTTAGTTGTTCTGATTTACAGAATATATAATGTGTCTGGGATTTTAAGTTTATTTTTGGTAGTTACAGGTCACAAAACACAAGGAGTAAAATAAACTTTTGATGTGGAGCGATTTTAGAATTTGATGTCTGTCTTGTAAGCTTAATAGCCATCAAAGAAAACAAAATTGCCACACAAAAGTCTATATTTATATAAAGTAAAAATCACAGGCTATTTACCTAAGGTTGTTTTGACACTTTTTACGTAGCCATTTCAACGCCAATCTCTGCTAAATATTGGAGTAAAATTGCGTTTATTTTGTTTTTTGACACATAAACTTATAACAAAGATCTTCTCATGTGTATTTCGTAAAGTTGGTGTGTGCTATTTCTGTACAAAACTTTATCTTGTGTTCAGCTTCATCTGCTGAGTACAATGATATCCCCATTGTATGTCTTTGGCACTATTTTGTGAAGCTACAGTGCCATATAGGAGACCTGTCCATTTCAGTATTTACATTAGAATTTTGAGAGACGGATTTAATGTTTCAATTTGGGGTATGATAGCAGTTTGACTGTTCAAAAAAACCCACAAAGGCCTACCATTTGTAAAAGCAGATACCCCAGGGTATCTCATATCGTGCATTTTATGCCTTAACATGCCCCCATTTTTTCACCAATATATGTCAAAGTATGTGGTAAAAATACATTTTTGGCATTTTTTACATATGGATTACATTTTTGCTGGGCATTTTGTATATTTGATATGTGCCACTAAGATCAAAGCCCCAAAATTATGCTCAACTAAGTCTTTTGAGCAAAATGATACCCCCAATGAATGTCTTTGGCACTATTTCGTGAAGCTACAGTGCCATATAGGAGACCTGTCCATTTCAGTATTTACAGTAGAATTTTGAGAGACGGATTTGATGGGCCTCTGTTTCCATTTGGGTTATTATAGCAGTTTGACTGTTTGTACCATCTTTCATATGATCAACTACAGCTGCATCAGTTGATCGGACAAGTCAACTCCCCCATATGCCGATTGTAATGTTTTATGCAGACTGGCACCAGTTTAATTTCCCCTCTGTCATGAACTGTGACCCTGCAAGTGCGTTCATCATGGATGGAGGTTAGGATGAACACCTCCTTTTTATCGCGGTACTTTAGTCTTCCCTTAAACTTCATGAGGGATTCGTCAACAGAAATATGTTTTTGGGTGGTATAAATAGTGCCAATTTTTTTGTTAAAGTGGGCAATTAGAGGGCGTATTTTATATAGAAGATCATGCTGAGGATGACCTTTTGGGGGACACTTTGTATTATCACTAAAGTGCATACATCGCAGTATGTCTTCATATCTGGGCTTACTCGTTGTCTGGGAAAAAATGGGGGTATTGCAAATGGGGTTTTTAGACCAATACATTCTAATAGTGGGCTTTTTAATTATCCCTATTAGCATTGTCAGTGCCCAGAATTGTTTCAATTCTGGCCCACAAGTGGGGTACCATCTCTCTTTCCTGGCGATGAGAGACCCTTGATTGTGTGCCAGATACTGCTCAGCCTACAGATTAGTCTGGGTGACTATCTCCCCAAAAATCTCATCCCCCAAGAAAAGCTGCATACAATCCAGCACATTATAGCCAGACAGGTATGCCAGGATTGGCAGTGAACTTTGAAATGTCTGGTGAAAAATTATTAGGGGGTACCCAGTCATCTGCGCCATGTTCAGCATCAGGGGAATCTAGGATTTCTTCTGATGGTCCTGCAATATCTGGCACATAATCCCTGTCCCCTGCGTCACTCTCTGAGGCAGTGTCTGTCGCCTCTGAGTCGGTCACTAACAGGGCATAAGCCTCCTCTGCGCTACACTTCCTAAACATAATAAACTTTAACTAAACTTTAATTTTTTAAACTTTTTTTTTTTTTTTTTTTACTTTTCACCCCTAACTAGCTTATCATTAAATTCCCCAATTCCCACTAAAGTCCACCCACCCCAACTAACTAAATCACAAATTGATAAAATTACTAAAAAATCTAATTTATCACCTGAGGGTAAAAAAAACACTAGATCACAGTAAAGTACTGTGATCTGTATTTTGAACACTGCTGGTGGTGATCAATCAGCAGGGAAAGGGTAAATTTTGTTAACAGAACAGGATTAGTGAATTTGGAACCTCTTCAGACAACTCATTCTCTTCAGGGACACAATGTAACAACGACCCATCTCTCTCCACTTCAAAAACCCACAAGAGGTGGAGGGAGGCTTATCTGATATCCCAGCAGCATTGTTACCGCTGTGACTTGCTGGGACATCGTGATTTGCTGTTGCAGGTCTCCAACTGACTCGGAGGCACCCAGCAACAGCGTTAACCCTGTGATCGCCGGCACCGCGGCGTTAAGTGCTTCCCCAGCATGACGGACTGGGTCTGTCATGCGTCCTTAAGGGGTTAAAATATAAAATCGATCTAACACTCCTACATTTAAAAATGCATTACAGTGCAGTTTCTCCTATGCATAAATATATACGTATGTTTCTTTTTCTTTGGGCTCAGTTGCTTATATCCCACCCCCCCACCCCCCCACCCCCCCATCTTGATGATGCTCTTCTCTAAGCTCACTTATGTTTGACACCGTATTCTAACATGGGGTTTTTAACTCCTATGTGTTGCATGCCCTTATAGGTTACTGGTTTGCCAGTATATATGTTATACTTATGTTCTTTTCTCCTTAATTATGAGTACCATTTACAAATTGTCAATGTGCTAACCGGCCGGAAGCCTTTACCAAGTGTTTTATGTTTTACAGCAGTCAATAAGAAGTCAGGATAGACCTGGTATATCATCAATTGATCCCTTTTGAGTGTCAGTATTTGCAAATGTCAGTATCTGCAAACATACAATGTATTTGCTTTTAGTCAGCATAAAGAAATTTTATAACATGACAGGAGGCTTCGTATTTGCTTAAGTCTCTCTTTACTAGAACTCCACAGCAGCACAGAAAAACTACCAATCAGAAAAAAGTTGGGTACTATAAAACTCCCCTCCCCATGCATCATTTCCTCTTTCTTTGCTGCTCCGCATCAGTACAGTACCACTGCCTCCTGCTTCTAGTTGGTGGCTTTGGGATTTTATTGCTTATATATTCAGTTTTTTATTCTTATTATGTTGTAGGATTCTATTTTTATTATGCAGTATTGTAATAGTCCTTGTAGGATTTTATGCTTCTTAATGCAGTATTATAATAGTTCTTGTAGGATTTTATGCTTATAAATGCAGTATTGTAATAGCCCTTGTAGGATTCTATTCTTATCTATACAGTCTTGTAATAGTCCCTGTCGGATTTTGTTCTTATAATGCAATATTGTAATGTCCTTGTGGGATTTTATGCTTATAATGCAGTTTTGTATAGTCCGTGGATTGGTGGGGGGCCTTGGGGTCCTTAATAACCTCTATCCCCTTGATCTTGTCCCCCTATCCGTTATCACTCTGTGTATACCCCATTTTATTTTACTTTCTCCGCCTTGGTGGTTTTTGTGGTGGTGTAGGTGCTGCTCAGGGGCCTCAGGAGGCTGACTACTTTTGCCTCCTCCGTTCCCCGAGCTCCAGGACCGCGGAGTTCAGCGCGGGCGGTCCTGTGCGCTTTTTCCTGGTCGCGAGAGCATGAGGACCCGGCGGCCGGATCTCTTTTCTCTATGTGGCTGCTGCGCCGCAGTCGCATATGCCCGAGGACCAAGTGGATCCTGCATGTTCTACCCGGTCGCAGGATGATACTGGCGGGTGAGCGCGAGTACCCGGCGGCCGGATCTCTTTTCTTCATGTGGCTGCTTCACGGTGGCCGCCCGTGGGCCACGTGTGTCCAACCGGGCGGGGGATGGTGTGCCCACGCGCGGGCCCTCCCCCCCCGCGCCAGTACCATTCACGGTGGAGGTCCTTTGGTGGGCCTCCCCGGGACTCAGGGCTTAACTCAGACAACGGTCTAGTTTGCTGGTGGTCTGCGAGGGCCCTTCCACCCTGCTCAGTGTAGAGATATGGCTGCTAAGACGTCAAAGGATCAAACATTTTACACATACTTAAAGGTCAATATTGCTAAATATATAGTAATCTCATATATTCTTTTCTGAGTTACCATATATTCTTATTATAGATATATATATTTTTTTACTGGGAGAGCAGCCTGTAGACAGTACTCCCTGTACTGCTCTGAGCTTAATGCAGCTTGAGATCTCTACATTTGGCCACAAACATTGAGGTCTACCAGTTTCCTGTATAACCTACACGGACGTCAAAGTCGGGTCGCAACCTACCGCTGGAGTATGGCTCAGGATGTGTAATAGACTCGGATAGGGCTGCCGACATTCTCAAGCAGGACAACACATGATTCTGACCCTTGTTTTTTGTTTTTTTGTTATATCTGCTCTCTGGAGTCACCTGTAGTGAGCGAAGGGACTTTATGCCTTACTGGAGAACACTATGTGTTCGCGGGACTCCAAGCTAAGAAGGGAGGTATCCCTCTATATGGAGACCTTGACTTTGGTTATCGAACCCACATTCCTGGGTCTCTTGACCTAGGGCCTACTCTGGGAGATACTTGCCCGGAAAATCAGGGGTACAGGGACCTAGGGGTCTCACTATATTTTACCCTATCTTGTAGGTGGCGTGTAGACCAGGAACCCCTACACAAATTTTGACGGGTCGCGCTGGAACAGGATCGTACTACAGGTAATCGGATTATTTCACTCTCTCGCTACAACACGTGAGGACTCTTCGTGGTTATACAGGTCCCAATCACCACTGGATCCGTACATCTTATCACTCTTAGACGATGTCATCTCTGGATGGAAATCTCAACTCCAGTCTACGTTTCCCATCCTTTTGAATATTTCTGGGAGGAGCCACCTTACACATCAAGAGTTGAGACATGGTGGCAGTTACTTCTCGCAGCCCTAAGTCCGCAAATGACCTTCGACATTTTACAACTACAGGAAAAGGGCTAATAGGTCAGCTTGGCAGCTCACGGACCGACTGCTGGGAGACAGGTCGCAATCCCACGTACAATGGATCTATTAGCGGATGGTGTTTTTTTCCGTATTTGGAATGCTTCATCAACTGGCATCTTCATCGATCCGTCTACTGTCATTTATCGCAGCTGGAAAGTCCATTTAGGATTGCTCTGATATCTCCCGGAATAGGTACCAGCGAAACAAACAGCGTTGGATTTGTTGACTGAGCATTGAAACAGCAAATACGATTGTAGATTATGCTAGTTTTAGTGTACCTATAATCTTAATTTTATTAAGGACAGGAGGCGAGTATTTCCCACCCATTCTTATCCCTCCCTTGTTTAATTTTAATAGTTTGGATTAATCAGGTACGTATTCAACTCTGCTTGTTGTCTCTGCTACCTGTCACTTGTGTTTTCAGTAGGGTTGGGATATCTACATATTAAGGTAATTTTGGTTGCTACATTGGGTACCTACATGTTTATTCAGAGTACATTTCATTGGATAATCAACCAGTTCGATTCTGTTTTTCTCATGTTTCAGTTTACAGTCAATCAACACTACCTGGTGAGGCAGTTCTTCTTGGAGGGTGGACATTGTTGTATTCATCATATCTAGGACTTTGTTTCTTCCCCATTATATTTTTCTGCCTTTATTCTGTTTTTGTTGCAGCTTGAAAGAGGAAATGATGCATGGGGAGGGGAGTTTTATAGTACCTAACTTTTTTCTGATTGGTTGTTTTTCTGTGCTGCTGTGGAGTTCTAGTAAAGGGAGACGTAAGCATAATCTACAATTATCACTACATACTGTCCTATGAATTTTATTATTTGTTTCCATGAATATGACGTACTTCTGTCGTTTGTAGATTAAGATGTTTGTAATTCACTGAAATATAAGTGACAAATGTGGGTAAACTGACATGTCCCTTATTTCCTGTATAATTTGCACTTTTAATTGTTGGACTAGAATTCATAAACACCTCTGGTAAACTAAATTGTTTCCACTATTATGTAAGGATTAATAAAAGAATGCTCATTTTTTCTGGATGACAGCTTAACAGACACATGAAATTTGTTTTGTATAAAAAATTTGAATTGTCAGAAACCAAAAATGACACTCAACTTCCCGAACACCGGTCAAACTGTACGAACGCTTGCTTCCTTTTCCCGAACAGCCAGAAGAGCGCTGTTCTGTAGTTTGGTTCCCACGAACCAGGGGAACAATCGCTACTATGAGCCATGGGGTGCAGTTCGTCCATTTGTTCATTTTTAAGACTTGTCGAAATAGACCGGCCACACAGCCTAAACTCATGGATTAAAATTGGACTTCCATAAAATACCAAAACCCCTGGCCTGATCTGGGTGATTTTTGGATATGTTGGTCACCCAGATCAGGGCTATCAGGGGATATTTATGGGGATTTTGTGTGTTTTGGGGTATTTTTCAAGTTTTGTGGAAATTGTGTTTTTTCTGCCTGGAGATAATTAAGTTATTACAGTATCTGACTCAGTTATCTCCAGGCAGAGAGGAGTAAATTATCTGTTTGCATTGGGAGTGTCACAGTTTGTCACTGTATTGTTATTGGCTGTACGCTTTGTGTCCCTGTCCCCCACAAGGGACACAGGGGAGCACCCTTTGCATGGGGACTTGCATAAAAACTAGTGTGACACCCATTAAAATCATTCCTGTTACACCCTTCATCTAGTTTCGGCTGATGTTTGGGTACCTGTCTACTTTACTGGGAGAATCTACTTGGGAGACTGTCATTCGTATGGAGAATCGTTCGACTCAGCACCCGAACTGTTAGCTATAATCACTCAGGCTCAGGCAGTTCTGGAGGAAATAGACGAACGGGTAGCTGTTATACCAGCGTTCGTTACAGTCAGCATTGTTCTTTCATACTATACTGCAATGCTATCAATGATGTCCACACAGTTATTATATATTAATCCTTTATTATATGATCAAAAAGTTATTTTGCACTAAGCATTTATAATTGCATGAATGATATTGCAAACAATTGGTACCATTTACAATTAATGAAGACTGATAGTGTTAACATTGCTAAATTCTCAGTAAGTTCTATTCTGATTTTGCAAGTACAGTAACAGAGGTATCTACAATTGATAGGTATTTAAGGATATGTATTGATTACACCACCTACTCTATGATTTAACACACTGCCTTCCTTACCAAAATATTTAATTCTGATTCTTTGCTCTCGAATTGCTGATACCCTTACATTTTTTCCCATTACATTTCACACTGGAATATATATTCCTCTAAACAATTGCTAACCATGTCTCCCAATGATATTCCATCACTGGAACTCCCCTGTTAGATAACGGATTGGATATGCTTCTGTGTCAAGTCCCAATACAGCACAGATTCCAAGCAGCTTTTCTCTGGCTTCTCTCTGGCCACTTCCTTCACAGGCAACACTTCCATATGGTTCTTGGTCTGGGCCACGCTCCCTGCTACCATCAAGTTGGTTGAATCTTATATATCCTGCATGGTGCAGTTCCGCCAATCTCTGTGGCTTTGCTGTGCTGTGCAACGCATCCTCATGATTTTCCCCAGTGCACATTACTCCAACTAGTACTGTCCGCTCCTGGACTCCTGTTGCAGGTAATGCAGGGTCTACGCCACAAAACAACGCCAACGCCACAAGGACAAGGTCAGTGCCATACACATGGCGGATCCAGTCACGAAGATAGAATCCCCCCATTCGTGGGTTGATCTCCAGCAGACGTGGACCAGTTTCTGTCAGCTTCAGCTCTACATTGAAGACTCCTGGGTACAGTCCCAGTGATCGACAGCTGAATGCAGCAGCTTGAATAAGCTGGCAACGCTGTTCTGTGCCTAAGCGGGAGGGGAGAGCTGCTGCTGTTTCAGTAAAACCTGGCAGCAATGTTGGCCCATTGTCGGACACATAAGCAGCCAGAATTTGACCACTGGGACTCATAACCAAATCCACGTCATGTTCAGTACCCGTTATATATTCTGCCAGAAGAAGCAGAGGCCTGACATTGTTATTGCACAACTGGTTTTGTTCATTATCAGCATATGCATTCAATTGTGTTGTTTTATTACAACCCTTTCTATCAATTTCTGACTTACTGGCTTCACCTTTACAGGTTTCTTCTAATCCTGTTTTACAATATACACCACTCTGAGAAATTTCTTCAATCTGCACAGCACAGTTTTCTCCATTTGGGGGTGTGTATGGTTCAGACACTGTTCCAATTTTTCTGATCACCCTTCTGCATTCTTCTGCATCTTGTATAAGTCGTACGCCGACTGCCCCTGCTCCAGATTCTGGCTTCACAACAAGTGGGTAGGAAATAGTAGATTCAGCTTTCTCTATTCCTTCATCAGCAAGGCCTAAGGGGAAACAGGGCACTGCAAATGCTCCAGCATATGGGAAGGGTGGTGATGTTGAAGACATTGAAAGGAGAGATAGCTGTGTCTTGGTCTTTTGCTTGGCAAGTCTCACAGCACTAGCAGGTGGACCAGGGAGCCCAAGGTAACTGGCCAACACAGCGGCAAGGATAGTGCACTCATCCCAAAATGCCATGCACCCAGAGAGGCAAAGGCCTCTGCCCTTGATTAACGTTAGCAAGTTCTGAGCATGCTTCTCTACATCACAGGATTGATCATCATAGTCATAATGGATAAATGAGGTCACAAGCGATGAGGCAAAATGTTTCGGGTCTGATTCAACCAAGTGGATCTAAGAGGACATATATACATTACTTAATGCAAGCATGGTAACAGTAATTTAGGCTATGAAAAATACTAATTCTATCAAATTCAACATCTTGTCATATTGCTATTCATCCTAAAGACGGTAAAACTAAATTTACAGTTATGTTTCAAAAAGCTGAAAAATAGTATTTTTCTTTTCATTTATTTAAATATATTATTATTTTCTGTATAGCTCACTCTGCCTTTTAATAAATTCTACTGAATCTGAAGACTCAACTTTAGGTAGGGAATTCCATCATTATTTTTTATTTTATTTTTTTAAAGTGGGCCTCCCAAAGGTATTTGCATACCATAAAAACACATAATCATTAAAGTATGCTTTTTTGTTTTTACATACATAGACATGCATTTTAGTAAATAAATATGTATGTATGTATTTATGTTTAACACATTAGCAAAATATGTAGTGTTATTGAGAATTTATATGGGTAATAATTTCTGAACGATTTAGCTGCAGTTTTAACATATTTAGATTGGTTAAATCTATTTAATTTTGGCTCAGTTTGGTGTGATTTGGTTTCTTTTTATGTAAATAAACTAAAATTGTAACCAATTGAAAAAACTAAATGTGTATAAATTTACTATTTCTTTTTCACTTTTAAAGTTTTATAATCTCCACGACAGCATTACACACAACATAAAATTACAGGCACCTTTATCCCATAGATTTTTGCGGCCTCCCAGATGAATGCTTTGCTGATACCTCCAGATCCAACTACAAGTACTTCCTTTTTTTCCATTACATAGATAAGGGACCGTTGAAGCATTGTTTCCAACAATGGTGTTGATGCAGAAATAATGGCATTGGATCCACCAGCAACAAGACTCCCCTGCAGACACTCATGAATCCCACAACTTTCCAAACAATAATTGGATGTGATACCAAGAATCACTGGGGTCACCATGTAGTCCACAACAGTTAGCAGGAAATCCACACCTAAAAACTCAGAAAAACAAGGAAATCATATCTTCATTTCTGCTTTGCTTCTCCCCATGCAACTGACATACATAGAAGCAAGTTGTGGGTGCATAATAGGTTACTTTGGTAGGCACATACATTGTATGCATGTCAAAATAGTGTCCCAGCAAAAAATTATAATGTGTGTTATGTGTGTGGTGCAACAATAATTTGTAAAATTATACTAGGGGCATACATAGACTGTTGGACTGTTTTTAATAGGTGGAAGTATTGCAGAAAATGTTATACTGACTAGGTGTAGCTGATATGGCTACTTGATATTAGTATATGATACTGTGTGCACGAACACAGAATAGTAATTTGCATGTTAAAGGGACACTGCCAAAATAATACATTCAATAAAAAGAACTGTTTAGTAGATATACCCCTAATGAAAACTTGCATGCATTTAATTATGTATTTCTTCAATGGAGTTATATCTGAAAAGTTTGCAAAAACTGCAGATCTCTTGTCTGCTGCCTTTGCGAGCCCTCTTCTTTTAGCACTGCCCATACTTTATGTGTTCAATTACAGACTTCACAATGCAGCTCAATAAGAAGTCTTCACAAGGCAGGTGCTCTGGGCAATTACTGCCTCTTGAGTTCAGTGCAAATAAGCTAACCAAACCAGGAAGTAACAGGACCTGTTGCCTGCTTGAAAACTTTTTGCAGAATGAAAAAATAGGACACACTCTTCACACATAAAGTTTTTCAGCAAGAGAAATTGTTTTAGGGAGTCTGGAATGTCCCTTTGACCTGGAGTCGTTGAATTGTGTGGATGCTATTGATATGAATTGTAATACTTTTCTATTGTACGAAAGTTTACGAAATCTATCTACTGAATCTTTATTTAAAAGTTCGTTCCTTTCCATAAAATATATCTTACCCAATAGGTCAGTTTGAGCCTTATATCCTCCACGTTCCTTTTGAGTCAGTTTTTTTTCCTCCTCCATAACTATTTTCATGACATTTTCTGCAGTCTTTTTAAGCTGGGCTAAAATGTTCTCCTTTTGATATTTGTCCCTCACTCCCCACAATTCCAATGTGGTTTCCAGGGACTGGGGCAAAGCAAAGCGGTGACAGAGAGGTTTCTCTGCCCGACCCACAGAACATACCACCTGTGAGGTGGACAACACAGATGTTATGGGTGACACAATGCACTCAGCACAAAAACATAAATAAATATTTGGTAATCAAAAACATATTGTAACATCCTTTTGGTAGTGAGAAAGCGGAGGACCAATAGTCCATGACACACATCTGAGAGAGCGAGAATCCATCTTGAGAGATAGAACTATAGGGCTCATCTCTCCAGGGGACTTAGTACAAAGGGTTTGTAGATTGGGGTAACTGCCCCCGGAGGATGGGGCCAGCCCTGTTACCTTGCTTAGGATTGGTTGGTCTCCGCGAGATCGGCAGACAACGGCACAGAGACGGATCGTCAGCTCAGGGGGGCACACGGAGCAGCCTGGGGGGTTGGGCAGAGACAGTAATATAGGAAGAGAGAGGAAGGGAAAGAAAAGATGGAAGCAGAAGTCGAAGAGAGTGGAGAATGGAATAGACAAAATTATGGAGAAACAGGGAGAAATAAAGTAACTGCTTTCCCTCTGCTCTTTCAATATAGTGAAAATTGCATCTCACAATACTGAAAATATTTTGCAAAGGCGTCTATTAAACAGTCTGATAAGTAAATCACCATGCTTTACAGCTGAACAAACATTGTTCAAATGATCAGCATAGGGTGTATCATGTATTGTTTAAGAGTAATAGAGACAGAAAGGAGGGGAAAAATAGAACAAAGGAAACAGAGAGAGTGATATTTCAGGCAGAACATGAAAAATCTATATTGAAAATTGTTATGTGTAGAAAATATGCGACGTGTATTGTGGACTATGTTTCCCATCAAAGGAGCCATAGTCCATCTAAACTGTAATGCCAAAAGTTATCCATTGCTGGCACAGATGGTAGATGGACAGAGAAAGTAGAATAGTCATATGAAACAGAGTTAAAGAAGATACATTGAAGGAAGAGACAGCTAGGAAGACATAAATTATAATCCTTTAGAGGAGAATAACATAATTCTTTTAAGATTTTGTCTACTTACTTGCTATCACAGCTGGAGGTTTGGGTGGGTGTATCCTGCGTGGGGGCAAAGAATGTATAAAGCCTTCCAGAAGTATTGCTTCTTTATCATGGAGATTTGAAATGAGCCCAAAGACAGTTTCATATACACTGTGAGGGTCACAGACAGAATAGAAGGTTGTAGGAAAGGAATGTCTTTTTTGTGGCCCACAGGCCTTAACCACAACCTAAAGAGAAAAATAAATTGTTAAGAAAGGGGAACTTACACCAAGATAGCATTTTCATGTTGTAAACAAAGGCAGATGAAATGTATAAACTAGAGACTGAGATTTAAGCTAACATGCATAATATGTGAAAGAAAGGATTACTGTATGCATAACTCCAATATAAACAACAGAGGAAATGATCAGATTTAACCCTAAATTAGGATTGACTAGATCAAGAATTGCATGCTGTCAATTTCTGAGCTATCTTCAAAATAAATAAACTAGTAATAGTTTGGCCAGTCAACTGTCTGAGCATTCATCATGCAAAGCATTGAAAATAAAATCAATTCAATTTATTTAATTTCTAAATTTTTATTTTTATCTTTATTGTGTTTTAATATTTTTATTTGATTATATATTTTTTTATTTGTGGAAACTTATTATTAGTCTTTAAAAGTTAAGTTTGAATTTCATGTCCCAATCCCCTCTTCTTCATACACTGAACAAAATTATAAACGCAACACTTATAAACGCAACGCTTTTGTTTTTGCCCCCATTTCTCATGAGCTGAACTCAAAGATCTAAGACTTTTTCTATGTACACAAAAGGCCTATTTCTCTTAAATTGCTCATCTGCATGCTCGTCGTCCTCATCGGGATCTCGACCTGACTGCAGTTTGTCGTCGTAACCGACTTGAGTGGGCAAATGCTCACAATCAATGGCATCTGGCACTTTGGAGAGGTGTTCTCTTCACGAATGAATCCTGGTTTTCACTGTACAGGGCAGATGGCAGACAGCGTGTATGGCGTCGTGTGGGTGAGTGGTTTGCTGATATCAATGTTGTGGATCGAGTGGCCCATGGTGGCTGTGGGGTTATGGTATGGGCAGGCATATGTTATGGACAACGAACACAGGTGCATTTTATTGATGGCATTTCAAATGCACAGAGATACCGTGATGAGATCTTGAGGCCCATTGTTTTGCCATTCATCCACGACCATCACCTCATGTTGCAGCATGATAATGCACAGCCGCATGTTGCAAGTATCTGTGCACAATTCCTGGAAGCTGAAAACATCCCAGTTCTTGCATGGCCAGCATACTTACCGGACATGTCACCCATTGAGCATGTTTGGAAGGCCCTTGATCGGCGTATACGACAGCGTGTTCCAGGCCCTGCTATTATCCAGCAACTTCGCACAGCTATTGAAGAGGAGTGGACCAACATTCCACAGGCCACAATCAACAACCTGATCGACTCTATGCAAAGGAGATGTGTTGCACTGTGTAAGGCAAATAGTGGTCACACCAGATACTGACTGGTTTTTGGACCCCCCAATACAGTAAAACTGCACATTTTAGAGTGGCCTTTTATTGAGGCCAGCCTAAGGCACACCTGTGCAATAATCATGCTGTCTAATCTGCATCTTGATATGCCACACCAGTGAGGTGGTTGAATTATCTCGACAAAGGAGAAGTGCTCACTAACACAGATTTAGGCAGATTTGTGAACAATATTCGAGAGAAATAGGCCTTTTGTGTACATAGAAAAGGTACTAGATCGTTGAGTTCAGCTCAGGAAAAATGGGGGCAAAAACAAAAGTGTTGTGTTTATAGTTTTGTTCAGTGTATTTACACATGTTTTTAACACACACATATATATATATATATATATATATATAAATATATATATATATATATATATATATATATATAAATGTTAAACAATAATCTGCACACCAGTCAAGCCATAAGACTTGCTTTTCCCACAGGAATCACAATTTTGCAGTTATGTTACTACTGCAAAGGATTCTGGGTGGGCATATGCAAATTTTTGCCTCATTCAATTTTAAACATGGATTCCTTTGAGTCTGTGTTTGCTGTATACAACAGCTTTGAAATACAACTTAGGAAAAGATGCAAAGCCAGTGAACCACTCACTAATCTATCTTTATCTAATTATCTATTCTAAATGTAAAAGTTGCAATGATTTCGTCCTTTTTTTTTTCACATTTGTGAAAATGTATCTGGTAATGCTTTTTTTATTTGTAGTGCCCAGATTGACCTGAAAGCCTCTCCACTGCAAGTAATCAATCTGTTTTAGAATAATTTGACTTTTTACCGGGGTCTGCTGGGTGCCGCTCTCCACCTCCACTAGAGCTTAGTGAGAGCCAGAATATCTCTGCTTGAGCTAAGCCTGGCTCACGACATACATTAATAAAACCAAACACATGCCTATAGTTGTATATATAGATACATTCATACAGTGTCCATTAAATATATGCAGTGCCCATATCAGTTGATGTCAATTAATGCATCCCAGAATGGGCTTGCTTTTCTCTAAAGGGCAATTCAGCTTTTCCTGCAGAAGACCAGATGTGACCACATGTGCTTGGCAGGAACAAGGTAAGTTTTCAAACCTTGCCAAAATGCTTTGATATCATACAGTGGGGAAGCAAAAAGGCAATGCTGGTAGCATAACTAATTAATACAACAGGCTGCATTGATAATGGTGCCTGGAAAGCCCCTTTAATAATGTATTCCTAGTATGTTTCACACTCCATCGGAATCAGTTGCTTCTTTGTGAGTAAGTCAGCTCATCCTAGTATACCAGTCTCACATTTCTGACTTGGATAGACATTCAGGACCTGACGAGGCACTGAAAGGGACCCAAACCGATTGGAGGTGCAGTTCATGTACTCCATACACTAAGCGATCATGGAAAATAAAAACCCAGAATGCATGCAAAATGGAGCTGGTAATGAACCTATATACAACACAACCAGTATCATATTAAGAAAGTATGACTCAAATAAGGGAGATTTGCATTTGTAGGCAAAGTTGAATTCTTTGCCTACAAATACAGTTTTAACATATTATGTACAATGCTTTTTTGGAAAAGCAGAATATTCAAAAATGTGAATATAATAGTCAATATATCCCATCTGGTGAGGTGTCAGAATATTATCCACTGTGTCATAAAAAGGGTTACTTTGAGGACTGGCATACGTGTACAATTAAGCTAAACAGGGCCGGTGCAAGGATTTTTGCCGCCCTAGGCAAAAGTAAAGTTTGGCGCCACCCCATGTAACAACAAAATGCCCCACCCATATGATCTGCCATGTTAACTAACACCAGTGCTGCAGTGCCGTCGTGTTTACATTAAAAGGCCTGCAGGGACAGGCTATGGACACCAGAACCACTACATTAAGCTGAAGTGGTTATGGGGACTAGAGATTAGTGCCACGAATAATATACTAGATTGCCTACTTACAACCAGATGAGGATGATGATGGGCTCTATCTGCAGTCTGGCTCCACTGGTCTGGTGTAGAACAGGCTCTCTGGAGGCTGTTTGTAACTGTGGTCACAAAAATCAATGTTCTGGGAGAACGGGAAGCAGCTCCATTTTTTTAAGGCCCTTTACACAGCTCAAGGTCTGGGTCCCAGGGTTCACCTTCATGTTCCACCAATGAGTTTGTTCACAGGGGGTGGAGTAGGGGGATGTCCTGATATGTGTGTGTGTAAGGAATGCATTGTGTGAATCTGTGTTTGTATGGGATGCAGTGTGGGCGTCTGTAAGGGGTGCATTGAGTGTGTGTAAGGAATGCATTGTGTGTTTCTGTGTGTGTAAGGGATGCATTGTGTGTAAGGGTTGCATTGCTTGTGTGTGTCTGTGTGTGTAATGCATTGTGTGTTTTTCTGTGTGCAAGGGGTGCATTGTCTTTGTGTGTAAGGGGTGCATTGTGTGTGTGTGTGTGTGATGGATGTCAATCTCTCCCCCCTTCCTTGTCACTCTCTTCTCCCCTCCCCACTCTTATTCCCCCTCCCTCCCTGTCAATTTCTTCCCCCCAACCCTGTCAATTTATTTCCCCTCCCTTTCAATTTATTCCCCCCCTTTCAATTTATTCCCCCCTCCCTGTCAATTTATTCCCCCACCTCCCTTTTCAATTTATTCCCTTTCAATTTATTCCCTACCCTCCATTTCAATTTATTCCCCCTTTCAACCCCCACCCTCCCTTTCAATTTATTCCCCCATTCCCTGTCAATTCCCCCTTCTCTGTCAATTCCCCCTCCCTGTCAATTCCCCTTCCTGTCAATTTCCCCCCCTTCCCAGTCAATCCCTCCTTCCTGTCAATTTCCCCCTCCCCTTCCTGTCAATTCCCCCCCCACCTCTGTTGTAGCGTGGCAGTGCTCTGTATCATGGTCCGCGGGTACAGGGAGCTTTTGTTTCCTGGACTAACAGGAAGTGAACACTCAGTGCGCACTTCCTGTTAGTCCGGCCAGGTACAGGAGACAGATGCTCCCTGTACCCGCGGACCATACAGGGCTCGGCCATGCTACAGTGAGGGAGTGACAGGAGGGAGCGCTTCGCGCTTCCCCCTGTCAGCCCCTCTCCTCAGGCTGCGCCCGGGCGGTGCGGTCCACCCTCATGGACGCAGCAGCCTGGGAAAAGCTGCTGCTGCCTGAAGCTCTCTACAGAGCGCTCGGGCGGCTGCAGCATGAGGGGGGCCGGCGCTCCTGGTGGCGCCCCCTCCCAAGGGGCGCCCTAGGCGGCTGCCTAGTCCGCCTAACAGGTAGCGCCGGCTCTGAAGCTAAGGAAGGTAAGGGGACTGACATTACATGTCTACAGAAACCTTTTTTTGTGCCATTAGACATAGGATTTATGTAAATAAATAATGATTTTAATTGGTGCTACCATTTCCATGGTTTCCTTTAAAGCAATTTGTGAATGAATACCAGCTGGAGTAAGTTAAGCCTGAACTGTGGACACCCAAGAAGATACACAAGCTAATAAGACCCTGGGATGTTCCAAAAACTATACCAGGACTCCCTACAGTAAAAAAAAAAAAACCCAGTGACTGTGTGAAGAAATGCGGCATCAAGCAGGATGATCAACAGACATGTCTTGGCATCCATGTCTTTTCAAGGAGCTCTCCTCCTTAGACCATTCATAAATGCAAAGGCACTGTGCAGATGAAGATATTGCTTGCAATGTATTGTTGAAGTAGAGACATCTTTGTACTTGATTTGGCAGTGTCCATTTGAAAAGGCTTTGCTTTCAACCTTGGAAAAAGAACTTTGTTCAATAGACATGATGATCCTGCCTTAGAAGCCAATTATGTATGGCCTGTTTCCAGGCAGACACACACAATGGGCATGATTGAGGATGTTTGGCATGTGATATACTGTGTAAAGGATACTTTATGTTGTGCCAGAAATTGTCTGGGTTTCAGAAGAAACAAGTCACTATTCAAGACTGTCGTAGGCTGATTCACAGCACAATCAAGGTCTATTTCATAATCAACAGTCTCAGAGAAGACCCAGAGAATTAAGGGGTTCCCTCTGCCTCAGGAGAGCGATGTAATTGCCCACCCCTTTTTGCTGTCTCATGAATTTTTAACTATTGTGAATATGCAATAAAGTCTGTATTAAGTCTATGTTAAGGCATTAATAAATGTATTTTTACCCAGAAGAGTGCCATAGTAAGCAAGAAGTTATTACACTCCACTGATGGAATTTGACTCCCGGTTGTATAAAACCCCACCTTCTGGTCTTTTGGAATTATATGAAATATCAAAATAAAAATCATTTGTTCAACCCGTTCAGTGTCAACGATATGACCAACAATATTGCAATATATGTTTTGCTCATTATATATGAAACTATTTACTATCCCTGCTCTGATAAACTAAATTATGCTATAATATGACATTATTATGGCTATCAGCACCGAACAGGTAAATTCAAAATTAGTCTTGAGAATACAGGACAATAATTATAAGAAATGTACCAAGAAAACTTGTTTACTTGGGCAGCGCACACAATCATGTAATTGGGAGGAATATTTTCAACAGACACAGCTGGTATTGTAGCTGAGCTTTGAAAATATATGATTAAGCATTTTGTTTTTCACCCATGTAGCCAGTGTTCAATTCCTTGTATGTGGATAAAAAAATCATTGGGATTTTTGTTAAATCAGACAAAACTAAATTTTTGAGGTATAACATATAGTGAATATATTATTTACATGGGCCAACAAATACATAGTAAAACTAATCACTATTGCATATTCAAATGCCACTTTAATCTACAAAGCAACTACTTTAGAAAGTGAGAGAACTTTATTTTAAAATTAATTGTAATATTTTGCCTTTTGTTATCTTGTATTTATGAAAAAAAATGGGGAGCAAGAGTCATTTCAAGTTAAAAATAGGGCATTTATCCAAACAAGGAAAATAAAAAGTCAGTGGGAGATTGCCCACATGCTAACCCTTCCCATCTTGACAAGTACAAAGCTGTCCCACACATCTAGTCTGCATCAGCAGAAGGAGCAGGCTCTGTAAGACTCATTTAGACAGGGCAAAATGACTACAGTGAAAGACATTTGAAAAAAGGAGGAACTGCAGCAACAGGAGAAACCTTATTCAAAATATTATAATTCAACACCAGATTTTAAAATATTTTTACAAGTTTAGAAAGTTTAAATAAAGAGTTTAAATAAAGAGGCGAATGACCAGTTATATCTCAGCTAGCAGATGATGACACCTCAGGTATCAAAGTGAAAATCGGGGTAACCCAACTTGGCAAGGTTGAACTTGAAGAAGGCTATTTTCGCCATCAATAGCGAGGACTTTTTAATCGTTGGGGATTCAGAATGTTCCCTATAACAGACAACACTCACACTCACTTTGGACAATGGTGGTAGACATAAAAATATTTGCTGGACAACCAGACAGAGTAGGACACTTGCTCTTCTCATCCCAGTAGCTCAGAGGCAAATTAGGTCCAGACAGGTAAGCTCCAACCATTTTAGAGGCACTACTCTCATTTCAGCTACTTCCTGCATCACTTGCTCCCACAAAACTGCCAACAATATTAATTCAGCTGTCTTGGGGTTATGCTGCTGCTGCTTTAAGTGGTAGACAATGGCAAAATGGTAGGTTCAACGTGCACGTCTTCCTCAACCAGCATGCTTCTCTAACTGCAAATCACAGACCGTGGTAATAAATCTGGCCTTCCTGTATGTCAGTGCTACTTTTCTCTTTATACTAGGATCACACAGGGAATCAAGCATAATTTCAGAGCAAATAGCAACTCATTCGATCAGACGATCATTGAGTAGATCTTTCAGCTTCCTGACCACTGTTACTATATCAGACAGGATTGTGGTGCTAGGAGCTAATTCCATGTTTTCCAAGAAGGCATCCATCGTACTTATGAGGTAGGTGAACATAGAGATGATCTGTCCCAAATTGGCATTACTCTAGCTTATAATGTAGCTTTATGTCTGTCGTGTTCATAAATTAAGTTAGAAGTGACACTAGCTGCCTTATTATTGTACAATCCCCCACACCAGTGGGAAGTCAACATCAAGGGAGTGGTGGGAAGTTAGACTATGGATTGCCTTCTGCTGTACCAAATTTCTTTCCAGCAGGTCTAAAGTGGAGTTCTAGAACATGCTGAAATCCTGTTGTAGACAGTGTGTGGAAAGCCCTCTTTTCTCTTGCTCCATGCAGTAAGAGTTTGTTAGCCCTCACATTATGGTGGAAATGTCCAGCAAACCTACTGCAATGCTTAAATATGGTTTGCCCCTTTTTACTGGCTTCCTTAATTGCACCCTTTACTGCTTGAAGAAGGGTGTGTGCAGAACAGCACACAACCAACAAAGAGCTTTGACCATGTTAACAGCTACATCAGTGGCCGTGAACTCAGCATGCTCATTGGTGCATACTTTCTAGAGGTGTACATAGAAATAATTTTTGCTTTTCGGTCAGTACATTTTTTCTTTTAGGGTCGACTGACATTTGGGCATAAAGAAAATATTTTTGGGCATAATTTTACTTCTTTTTTTTCGCGTCATTTACTGACATCTGACCAACCATAGATACCCATGGAAATTAATGAATAAAAAAATAAATATATTACTTTTAAAGAAAGGCTAGGCAATTTATTCACAGATTTTGCATGTATGCCCAAGTAAATAAGTGGCAGAGTAACAGGATGGTAGAAATGGGGGTGCACTCGCAGCAGCAGCACAGCCATTACACTGGGGCCAAAGGAACGAAGTGTCAGTGGCAATCACTTTTCTATTAGGTCCCTGCAAAAAAAATGTAATAGAAAAGCTGCAGTCAAGGGATTCTCTTGGTTCTAGAACACACTTCAGGGGGGTGATGTTAAGAGGGGATACTGGGAGGAAAGAGGTAATGGTGGTGTGGGAGGGAGGAATAAATACCTTGTTTAATTCCCTGGGGGTCCAGTGTCCTTCATTCCTTGGTGGTCTGGTGGTGATGTCTGGTCTGCAGCTCTGCGCAGTGTGCAGAGCTGCTGACCATGTGTCTCGCAAGACCCGCGGCAACAATCTGATTCGTCAGATCTCGCAAGACACATGGTACGCAGCTCTGCACATTGCGCGGAGCTGCAGACCAGCAGCTACGGGCGCTCTCCGGTCAGGCATCCTGGAGGGGGCTCTCACCAGGCGTCATATCGGGCAAGCCGCCGGGCCCCCTCCTAGTGTCGGGTCCTCGGTCAAGGACCGAAGACCTGACACAGTCTGCCCTAAGGCGGTTTAGGCGGCCGCGAGGCCCCAGTCAGCCTGGGGCCTTAGGTGGTCGCCTAAACCGCCTAATTAGAGAGAAGCCCCTGCCAATGGTACTCGGAGAGCAAGTTCACATCTTTTCTTTGCAAATAAAAACAGTAAAACCTCTTTAACAGAGGGAATTGTAACAGATTTCCAATATCTAGGAATAATTGATGTAGCCGAGATAAGGAGATGGCCTAACATTATTCTTTTATGCGCAGATAAATCGTAGGGGAAACGTGTGAGTAAACATAATCCAGCTAATTTTGGGCATGACCAAAAAATATGGTATAAAGTACCAGTCTGTCCACAGCTTCTCCAACATAAATTAAATGTGGAGACGTGTAATATGAACATTTTAAATGGGGAGAAATACCAGTGGTAAATTTATTTCAAGTGTGTTTCCAAATGTGAAATACAGCGGGTAATACCTTTCAATGCTAATAATGATAAATGCTAATACCTCACCCAGATCACTCTCCCACGTTGTCATATATGGTAGCTTTAAGCCTACCTTGCCTGCAAAAAAGGCATAGCACATGGAAATGGTTCATTCTGGCCAGGATCTGAGATTTTATAACCTTTTCTAAATTTGATAATTGCAATTTTCTAGAACTTGAAATCCCGAAATGCTCACTAATCTTCTCAAACAAATTTGCATGTGCAGGGGTGTCAAAAATACTCAAACCAAATTTATTTTGTAGCTATTCAAATGGCAAAAAATTGGAGAACAAAAACAGGTTGTTAATACACTTAATAGAGTGGGAGGACCAATATTCTACATCTAATTCAGGAACTGTCAATTTTAATACTGCTAGAGGAGTGGCTCTAGACCAGACAGCAGAAGGGTGAATTTTTCGATATAGTATATTCCAAGCCTTAACCCCTTAAGAACAATGGACGTATGAGGTACGTCCGACAAAAAATGGTCATTAAGGACCGCAGACGTACATCATACCTCATTTCGTGATGGCTTCCAGCCGCTCTATGGGTATTACACGATGCCTCGATATCGAGGCATTGTGGACTACCCCCTCACACTGCCGGACACCCGAGTGATCGCTGCCCCTGTAGGGATCACTTCCGGGTTGCTGCACGTGGCGCCCAGCAGTGTAGGCAAGAGCATCAGAAGCTTTCAGACAGGCTTCTGATGCTCTGCCTGTACTGAGTTCCTCGAGGCACTCAATTGAAATAAAATGTAAAAAAAAATTGGAAAAAAATTAACCCCTACTAGGGATCCACCGATTATCAGTCTGGCCAATATTATCGTCCGATATTCGGTATTTTTAGCAATATCGGTATCGGCAAATAGAGATACCTATATTGCCGATAATACATACCAGGACCACCGGGCCCATGACAAGCCCGGCGGTCCTGGAGGGCCCGCAGCAAGCTCTTACTTATCTTCCCAGCAGCTCCCTTCAGCTCCCTGGTGTAAATCTTGCGAGTCCCGCGACCATCAGATTGTTACCATGGCAATGCTCCGTGTGGCACGTGGCCGTGGGATTTACACTGGGGAGCTGAAGGGAGCTGCTGGGAAGATAAGTAAGAGCATTCAGGCCCCCCCCCCCCACTGCACAGTCCATGCCACCGGACAACCAGGGAATGCCATAGCCCCCCTCCCTGGCCAGGTAACAAGCAGGGAGGGGGGAATAAAAAAAATAGTTTTAATATATATTAAAAAAAAATGCCTCCCCTCCCCCCCCCCATTTTACACAATTTGCATACCTACGGAAACATACACACACTATGCATTATATACACATACTACACAAATACACATTCTGCATTCATTATATACACACACTACACAAACACACTGCATTCACTATACACATACTACACAAACACATACTCTGCATTCATTATATACACACACTACACAAAAACACACACATATTCTCTATATTCATTATATACACACACTACACAAACACACAGCATTCCTTATACACATACTACACAAACACACACACACTCTGAATTCATTTTATACACACTACACAAACACACTGCACTCACTATACACACACTACACAAACACACACACTCTGCATTCATTACATACACACACTGCATTCACTATACACTACACAAAACACACACTCTGCATTCATTATATGTACACACACACACACACACTACACAAACACACTGCATTCCCTATACACATACTACACAAACACACACACACTCTGAATTCATTATATACACACTACACAAACACACTCACACTCTACATTCATTATATACACACACTACACAAACACACTGCATTCACTATACACACTACACAAACACACACACTCTGCATTCATTACATACACACACTGCACAAAAACACACACATATTCTCTATATTCATTATATACACACACTACACAAACACACTGCATTCCCTATACACATACTACACAAACACACACACACTCTACATTCATTATATAAACACTACACAAACACACTGCATTCACTATACACACACTACACAAACACACACACTCTGCATTCATTACATACACACACTGCATTCACTATACACACTACACAAAACACACACTCTGTATTCATTATATGCACACACACACTACACAAACACACTGCATTCCCTATACACATACTACACAAACACACACACACTCTGAATTCATTATATACACACTACACAAACACACTCACACTCTACATTCATAATATACACACACTACACAAACACACTGCATTCACTATACACACACTACACAAACACACACACCCTGCATTCATTACATACACACACTGCATTCACTAAACACACTACACAAAACACACACTCTGCATTCATTATATGCACACACACACACTACACAAACACACTGCATTCCCTATACACATACTACACAAACACACACACACTCTGAATGCATTATATACACACTACACAAACACACTCACATTCTACATTCATTATATACACACACTACACAAACACACTGCATTCACTATGCACACACTACACAAACACACACACTCTCTGCATTCATTACATACACACACTGCATTCACTTCATTATATGCACACACACACTACACAAACACACTGCATTCACTATACATACACTACACACACTGCATTCTCTTTACGCACACTATACACACACATCACACACTACATGACACACATAGCAATTACTACCGAAACATTTGACAAAGACTCATGGTAGAATTGGTGCATGGAAAGTGTTAAAATACCACCCTTTGAATTACCCTAGGGTGTCTACTTTTCAAAAATATAAGGTTTGAGGGGGGTAAAAAAATGTCTCAAACAACACATGGGTGCATGATGACCAACTGTATTTTTTTACATTTTTTCATCATATTTTATAAAAACATTTATAGTAAATTATATGATATGATGAAAATAATGGTATCTTTAGAAAGACCATTTAATGGCGAGAAAAACGGTATATAATATGTGTGGGTACAGTAAATGTGTAAGAGGAAAATTACAGCTAAATACAAACATCACAGAAATGTAAAAAGAGCCCTGGTCCTTAACGGTAAGAACATTTAAAAATGGTCTGGTCACTAAAGGGTTAATAGTGGTTTTGGTCATAAGAAACAACCATCTCAGCGCAACCTTGTGCGCTGAGATGGAAGCAACCAAAAAATATATTGAATTACATGTGGAGAGAGTTTGCTAGCCTCCATCTCAAGCGAAAGGGGGCGGTCATGCTTTTGGTTGAACTTCAGCACCATCGCAGCATTAGTTGCATGATAATAATGAATAAATTCTGGCAAACCCACACCCCCACTAACCCTGAGCTTTTGGAGTATGGATAATTTAATCATAGATGTTTTTTTTTATTATTACAGATAAATTTCAAGAGCGCTTCTCTATTGATCTACTCCCAGCCAGACATAAGGTTGTACCTCCTCCACTGCCAACACCCCGCCCAGGCACTGGGGTCTGTTGCCTGTGCATCCCCAAGGAGAAAAATGCATGTTGGCTACTCCATAAATCTATGATGAATAGCACTCATTGTGCATGAAGGAACTGTACAGTGATGGAACTATCTTCCTGCTGAAAGTGAATCACAAGGGAAATATATATTGCAGAGCAAGGAATCAGCTTATTCAAGGGCACCTCTTGTATCATGAAAAAAAAAGTTTCCTCTACAGAATTGCAGGGCAATCAGACATGATGAGCCTGCTGTTTTTATATGCCAGTGGCATAAAATCCATCAACATGTTCAAATGAGGGCTGGCAGACATATCCCTAGGATAATGTGAACTGGAAGTCTGTCTGTCCCTGTTGCCTAGTGGCACTAGGCTCAACACCCCCTGTTTTGCCTTGTGGTGGTAGTAGTAAAGACGGTATTGGTTATGGTAGTTGGTTGCAGCGAATCAGACACAGCACCAGTGGATCGGCTTCTTGCCCTAGTAGCCTCTATCTCTGCTTCCTCGTTCAGTAACACAGACAAGTGGTGCATTTACAGATGTTAATTCATAACAGCATTAATGAGATGGCACATTGCTGCACAAGAAAGCTGTCAAAGTTAAGCCAAACTGTGCTTGAATGCAATCTACTAGCCTCAGCCTTATGGCTGATTACGTTAGTGGAATTTCATATTTAAAGTGTGACAACATTACCCTCTACACTAGGACTTGGTTGATGAATGCTAATGGGAAGAGAGGTGGTGCTGTTAATAATAATCTCACTGGGTAAGCTACTTCTGGCACTGCTAGAAGATAATAAACCAAAATAAACCAAATTATATTCTGATGAAAAACTAAATTTTATGTCAGTTCTTCCAAAGATAAATGCACTTTCTCAATTTGACATTTTAAATCTGTGATTCTACAGCAGGCAGATGGACTTATATATTAAATAGTGGACTGCTGTCTCTGCTCTCCAGATTATACTTTTCTAAATCCTATCTATCATGGTCAATTTCTGGGAGAGATTTAAACAAATATCTGAAGTTGTGGGGGAAGAGTGATCAAAATAACTAGATTCCTCACCACCAACAAAACCAGACAATGGAAAGACTGCTTAGGTACTCTACTCTACCTCTTCTGGAAAGATTGACTCTGATAGTATCACCAATGTCTCTGCTGAGATTTCTTCTTTCTCATATGTTTTAGTAGATGAGTGTTTTTAACTAGTGGTAAAGTATCAATGGGTAGAATGGAATAACTTAACTGTCAGAGATATTTTGGAATGTGGCTCTACTTTCTCTCTATTTAATCCTAACAGAAAAAGGGTGTCAAAATAAAATGTTTATTCTATTTATTTAAACTTTTGAATGACAGAACTGTGACCAAAATATTACAAAGTAATCCAAAAAGTACTCAAAAGGTATGAAACTGCTTAGTCTAACTCCAAATGGAGGGAGTGTACAAAAGTATCAAAACAGCAGCTCAAACAAACACTCGTGGGGGAAAACGCTCCTTTCTATAAACTACGTTGTGCAGTGTATGTAAATATCTATTATGGCATTCAGTAACATATATAAACATACTAATACTAATAATAATAATATACATATGTGGCATTGCAATATAAATCTGCTAATTCAATATATGTGAAGACATTAACCACTAAACCCAAAACTTTAATGCCATCTGAACTCAGAATTAAACTTAGATTGAGCACTGCCCAAAGTTCCCCTATCGACAAGCATAATGTGTGATTTGGCAGGGGTAACATCAGTAAGATGCTGTTGGAGGTCTTTTCAGATCCAACAGGTACTCCTTTCATTGGAGGGATACCTAACAACATTAGTTATGCAGAAAACCTACTCTTGGATGTGGACATAGATTTGCACAGTATTGTTCTTAAAAGCTGATCAGACCTAATTGGTCAGTGTACGGCCATAAAGTGTGTCTCCACCAATAGAAGGAGTCTTAAGTTTGATGGAAGCTCAGACCTCTCAAACATCACCAGGGCAAAACCCTCTGCTGGTGAAAAATCCTAGTGAGGAACTATTCTGTCATTAAGTACCATAAAGACAGGAACAAACGTTTATTATTATGAAGAAAGGCTAATTAACCATGCAAGTGCATTAATATATTACTTTAGGTCAAGCATGTTGAACTCGGCCCACATGGACCATCTTTGCGACCTGGCGAGCAGCGAGTACATGCTGGTGTTATAGCAGAGCAGGCACCTGCTTTCCCCACATTGCAGGTGCCTACTCTGCTAACGCTTAGGGGAGGAGGGCCAGCGAGGGAGCTCAGTGTTCCTGCTTCTCACAGCTCCCTCGCGCGCCGTCTGTAGTGAAGCCGGGCACCGGAATATGACGTTGAGGGAGCAGTGAGGAGCAGGAAGAAGATCTCCAGACAGATGTGTGTCTGTCTGTCTGTCAGTGAGTGTGTGTGTGTGTGTGTGTGTGTCTGGAAATGAATATGTGTGTGTGTGTGTCTGTCTGTCAGTGAGTATGTGTGTGTGTGTGTGTCTGGCAATGAATATGTGTGTGTGTGTCTGTCAGTGTGTGTCTGTCTGTCAGGGAGTATGTGTGTGTGTCTGTCAGTGAGTGAGTGTGTGTGTGTGTGTGTGTCTGTCAGTGTGTGTGTGTCTGTCTGCCAGTGAGTCTGTACGTGTGTGTCTGTCTCAGTGAGTATGTGTGTGTGTCTGTCAGTGAATATGTATGTGTCTGTCAGTATGTGTGTGTATGTTAGTGAGTATGCGTGTGTCTGTGTGTCAGTGAGTATGTGTGTGTGTCTGTCAGTGAGTGTGTGTGTTGGACAATGTTGCATTGGCTGCGACTGGACAGTGGAGTACCTGGAGGTGCATGGAGGCACGCAACGCCACGTGACATCGACGTGCTCCACCTTCACAGGGTTTCAAGAAGTAGCGGCAGGATCAGATTTGGCACATGGTGGTAGAGGGAGAGCTGTGGTTTGGTAGAGGGGGATAACTGGGATTTAGTATAGGGGGTGCTGTGGTTTAGTAGAGGGGGATTCTATTTTTTTTTTATACTGTACTTCTTAAAATAAACCTGCGTTTCTATAAAAATTTAAGTTTGGTTGTTTTATTTGTGGCCCGAATAAACTTAAACCTTGTTTACGTGGCCTGTGCCAGACTTTGAGTTTGACATGCTTGCTTTAGGTGAATATAACAAAGAAATATTCTCAAAAATACTTGGTAGCTATGGAATTTACACTTTTGCAAATGTACCTTCAATCTCTGGTGTCCATGTTTTGCATATTAGCACAATATACTTACTTTAAAGTGGCAATATCATTTCTTATATTTTTAAAATTATTACATACCTTTTGGTGATTTTTCTTTCTCAGTAATGCCAAAAATTCAGATATAGATTTCCTCACTCTTTCCTCCCATCCTTCCTTCCCATCCAGTTCTACCAGACTTGTGCTTCTTCCCTCCCCAATCTGGGGTTCCCATGAATCTAACCAATAAGAAGTGAGAACAAGAGCAGGGGCCAGTGGAAGTTCCATGCGATCAAGCAGAAGTCTCATTTCTAATGTATTCGAAAGAAAGTTTGAGAGCTTAGGTGAGCCTCCAATTGGGCAGTCCCATTCTTGTCCAAGCAAAACCTCATCACCTTCCATCCATGACAGATATGTCACACGTCGTGGGGGAGAAAATATGTCCAAAAATGTACGACCGCCAAGATCAAAGGTTACAGCCTGCCTAACATAGAGAGGGGGTGGGAGTGTAGAAGCAGGAGGTCGTGGGCAAAACCATAATGAAGAAAGACAAAGAAGCATGTTTCCTATAAATGAATAAAGAAGCATTGTAAGGATGATGCATACACATCAGGTATTACCATTTATTAATTGTTGCCTTCTATCTTTCTGTTATAATTCACATTAATGCTCCCTCCCTTCTCTTGTACAATTACTTCTTGTTATAATTCCAGGGCTTTTACAATTTGGCAGAGGCAAATATCTTACCAGGACACTGTCTAGCTCCCTCCAGCAAAGTGGACATGGCAAAGCTGGGAGTTCCAAACACACAAATTGTTGTAGTATCTGCATTATGATCTAAGCCAGATGAAAAGAAATTATAAGAGAAATATCAGTACAATAGTAATACTTCAAAACATATCAAATGTTATATCATACAGAATCTAATTCCTAGCCATTGTGTTGAAAAGGTTTACCAATTTTAGGTGTCTTTAGTAGGGCACAACATCGATACTTTATTAGACTATGCTCTATCAAAATATATTATATCTTACATACAAAAATATACTACTAGAAAGAAAACAGAATGTAAATATGTAAATAACAATGCAGTACTTGATGCATAATATAACTTAACATAACAAACCTATTGTGTGTCCTAACATACTTACCTTCTTGTGTGTTCAACCCCTTAACTCTTCATATGCTGTTAAGAACCTCTACCAAATCAGCTCAAACAAGTGGGACCACAGTAGAGGGTAAACATGTTTCTCTCATTGGTCTATCAGTGCAAATCTTATCACACAACATGCAGTATCAATGGTAGAAAGGTAGCATTTGGCACTAAGCCATATCCGTACATCCTCCACTAGCACTGCATGCTGTGCTCTCAAAACTCCGATAGACAGAGCAGAGAAACATGCTAACCCTCTGCCATTGTATCACTCAGACACACTGGGATAGTGCAGAGCAGGGATTTATCTTCCACGAGGCAAACAAGGCATTTGCCCGGCTAATGCCTTGTTAGCCTCGCTTTAAGAGGGCCCAAGAGCTGGCCAGCTGGCCACCTTTGGACCCCCTGAGCAGGCAGCTAGTAGTTTATCTCCAGGTGGGCGGCGCCCGACCTGCAGTGATGCCAAAAGCCGGAATATGACATCACAGCTGAGCAGGGAGAACTTACAAATCAGTGTTCCCTCGAAGGTAAGTAAACTCATGAGCCTTAGAAAGATGTCATGTTCTGCTAATAACACTTGAGTTGTTTATTTAAAGATCAATGGTAATAGTCACCAGCTGGTGCTGACTGTTTCATTCAGGAGAGGGTCTTTATGGCATATCAATCATACATCTATCAGGCTGTGCCAAACTCCATAGCACCCCAAAATAGTGACATATGAATGAGTTTGTCATTTGCATGTAAATGCATACATTGTAAGACTTTTTTTGTTGATAATTCCCCAAATATAAAATTTAGAAAAGTAATCTATCATTCTATCTCAATATAAACATTACACTTGCACACATTTTCATATGTTTGTGTGTCTGATGGGGAATGTGTGTATGTCTGTCAGTGTGTCTGTGAGTGAGTGTGTGTGCCTGTGAAAATCACAGTAAGAAGACTCTGGACGTCCATAGGAAAGCATTGAGTAATGCTTTCCTATGGGCTGTTTGAATGCGCGTGCGGATTCGAGCCGAGCCTCCAAACTGCAGCTCCGCCAGGTGCAGAGCTGCAGATCACCTGATGTAGTTATCGCAAGCTCACAGAGTTTTGCCACTGGTTACCATGGCAATGCTCAGAGCTCAGACCAGAGCTTGTAAGAACGAGGTCTGCAGCTCTGCTCGCGGCGTAGTGCCACCGGACCACCAGGGACTGCGACCACTGGACCACCAGGGAATTACTGAAGGTATTTCAGTGTGTGGAGGCTTGTCACAGCCTCCCACACACCCTGACCACCACATACACTGCCCCCCTGTCCTTGTTAACCTAATATTCTGCACTTAGCAATGGATATCCCATTAAATTGGAAAAATCTTAAACTGGGAAAATCTTCCCAGTAGCAATTCAGTTTTAGTGACATAATGAAAGACAATTGAGGGTGACTCTGACTGCTCTGACCATTTCTCATTTGCTTATATCATTCCCACATATTCAGGTTATAATATATATATATATATATATATATATATATATATATATATATAAAAATACAAAACCAGGATGCACTCACAGGTCTTCATTAAAGTGAGAAGAAAGGTGTTTTTATTAATCCATGAGATGTGTACAAAAAATCAATCGATTGATTTTTTGTACACATCTTATGGATTAATAAAAACACATTTTTTCTCACTTTAATGAAGACCTGTGAGTGCATCCTGGTTTTGTATTTTTGTATATTTCTGGCGTTCAGGATAGAGCACCCAGGCAAAACATCTTGATATATACCTTTAGAAGGAGAGTGCCAAGCTTCAACTTTTTTATTATATATATATTCATTTAGGATGGGGATGTTTGTTTAAAACTTCAGTCTTGCATTTTATATGGAAATTCATGTGTTTTCTTTCTCTATTTTTCTGTCAACACAAGTCTTTTGTACCGGTGCCAAGTCTCTCTGTTCATTTTATGTATTTAGAAACATAGAAACATAGAATGTGACGGCAGATAAGAACCATTCGGCCCATCTAGTCTGCCCAATTTTCTAAATACTTTCATTACTCCCTAGCCTTATCTTCTAGTTAGGATAGCCTTATGCCTATCCCACGCATGCTTAAACTCTTTACTGTGTTATGTTAACATTAACGCCCTTCCTTTTCATGTTGATTGCCCTGTTCGTTTACCTTGTGACCAGAAATTGCTGGGTCATTCCCTTATCATTCCACACATGCTGTGAAAAAGCTGTATGGCTCGTGGACGAGCTTGAGAGCTAGCCTTCTGCCCAAAGATGATAAGGCCTATTATGGAGTAGGAGAGACTCATTGAGACCTAACCAGAAAGCCTATACTAGGGCAGCTGAAACACTGTAAAGTAACTGCTGCATGGACTTCATCTAATACAGCACCATCTCTTGGATGAAGTCTACCTTGTTACAGTTAGGTGCATTGCATAGATGTTCAAGTTAAATGATTTGTGTGGTTGCATATATTTACAAATACCACAAGCAATGCAGGAAGAATCTTCTAGGCTTTTGTTAATTTTCCAAAAGATTTGTTTTTTCTTGTATGCGTGATATTACAATTTATTTATTACGATTCTGTGTGTTATCTTTTTTTTTTTTTTTTAAGTTTTTAGCTTCCCTGAACATTTCTATTGCTGCTGGATATATGTAAATATTTGCATTGGCACTTTATGTGGCACTTGCACATTAGTGTGGATATTTTATTGTGAGTTCACATACTGGCGCTTTGTTTTGTATTTTTATGTATGATTCTGAAAGCCACAATCACACAAAGTTATCCTTTGGCATTGTCACTTTGTTGAATAAGGAGATTGGCATACCCTTGTGAAAAGTTTTTATTATCGCAAAATTTATTTTGGGTTGTTTTTAATGGTGTTTACAGGTAACACTGTATAGTGAACAGCAGCTTATTTAATATCTGCACAAGTGTACTTTTTATATATTAAAATATTTTTGGATATATTGAAATGCTTTTCCGATACTTTCTTGTTTTTTTATTTATTAATGTTCCTCTGACAGTTATGTGTTATGTGTTGTGTTCTTGCCCTTGTTTTCCCATACAATCAAGTTTTATGTGTTATTTAAAATTTTTATTACCATGAGTCGAATTTTACATTCATGAAAAACTAGTGCCAGTTTAAAAAAAAACTATTAATAGTTACAATTCTTATAGGATCAGCAATCTAAGATTAGTGGGTGGGTGTCAATGTTGGTTTTGACCTAAGTATGCTTGACTTTATAAAAGTGTGTATAGTATTAAAGATTTTTTTTCAATTGAAAAAAGGTGTGTGAATGTGGAGAGGCAGAGACAGTGGGAATCCCAATTTTTAATGCAGCTCCCTGACACCTGCAAATCATATACAATATACTGGAAATTACACTTGTGCGACTTCCACAATATTACATATAATAAATGCCTTTAATATCCACCCAATGAGTGTTGTTTCCGAACAGGAGCCGGGTCGAGTGCGGGCCATTTAAGAGCCTGACCGGACCCTTTTAGTATCTGTTGGCTGGGAGGAAGTTATAGCCTGTCACTTCCTCCCTGCTTCACAGAGAGCCGTGCAGGAGGGAGGAGGCTGGAAGAGGCACCACCACAGGTAGCATGGAGAGGAGTGACTGGAGTGAGCTGCTGCATGCTCACTCCCATCAGCTTCAGTCAGGACCCCAAGCAAGGACACAAAAGGTAAGCTAGCAGGAAGGTTGCTGCAAATTAAATTATTATAACTTGTCTATGTATGCCAGATTGTGTGCATTTATGTATGTGCCAGTGTGTGTATCTGTGTATCAGTGTGTATATCTGTGTGTGGGTGTATGTGTCAGTGTATGTGTGGGTGTATGTGCCAGTGTGCATATCTGAGTCTGAGTATGTGCCAGTGTGTGTACCTGAGTGTGTGTGTATGTGCCAAGATGTGTATATGTGTGTATGTGTCAGTGTGTGTATATATGTGTGTGGGTGTGTGTATGTGCCAGTTTATGTATATGTGCCAGCGTGTGTATCTGAGTGTGTGTGTATGCACCACTGTGTGTATCTGTGTGTATGTGTCAGTGTGTATCTGAGTGTGTGTATGTGCCAGTGTGTGGTGTATCTGTGTGTGTGTGTGTGTGCACCAGTGTGTGTAACTGTGTACATGTGTCAGTGTATATCTGTGTGTGTATGTGCCAGTGTATGTATGTGTGTGTATCTGAGTGTGTGTGTATGCACCACTGTGTGTATCTGTGTTTATGTGTCAGTGTGTATTTGAGTGTGTGTATGTGCCAGTGTGTGGTGTATCTGAGTGTGTGTGTGTATGCACCAGTGTGTGTAACTGTGTATATGTGTCAGTGTATATCTGTGTGTGTGTATGTGCCAGTGTATATCTGAGTTTGTGTGTATGTGCCAGTGTATATCTAAATTTGTGTGTATGTGCCAGTGTATATCTGTGTTTATGTGTCAGTGTATATCTGAGTGTGTGTGTGTGTGTGTGTATGTGCAAGTGCATGTATTTGAATATACAAGTCTTTGTGTGCAAGTGTGCATATCTGTGTGTCAGTGTGTGTATCTATGTGTCAATGTGTGTGCATGTGTCAGTGTGTTTATAGTGTGTGTAAATAGTTGTAATATGTTGTATGAAATAATAATAAAATATCATGTACTTGTTCATACACGTTTGGTGGCTGTGTGTATGTACGTGTGTGGGGGAGCGTGTGTGTGTGGGAGGGAGGGAGGGGCACGTATGTAGGGGTGCGCGTGTGTGGGGGTGCAATTGCTGGGGAATCCACCTCCCTGAAATTAGTTTTTGCATGTTGGGATGTCTGTAAAGCTAAAGTAGTTGAAAGTGCCCTTGTAAAGACTATGGTTAGAGGAAGCAGGGGAGTGATACATACCTAGAAAAGAAGGTGGAGGGGAAAATACCAAGTGGTTTAGTGGGTGCAGGAAAATAATTGATTCAGTAATCCCTAGTGCCACAGGAGATAAGTCATATGATACTGCAGGACATGTCAGGATCCCAAGCTCCAGACCTACTGTCCCCCACCACAATGCACAATGGAAAATTATTTTAAAACTATCTTACTTACAAATACTGTACCTTGGAGGCTGAGTCTACTCTTTTTGCCTCTCAGCCTCTTTACACATACATTTGGTTGCATTAAAAAGCCCAGCAGTAAATTATCATGCACTTTACTTTGAGGATCCGTGAATTACGCACTGAATGACTAGTATACAATGAATTATCAGAAATTTAACAGGCTTAGCCGCAGTATACATTGCATACATGTAATGTTGCACCAGGATGAGAGAAAATTATTCCATAACATTTCTTTTTCCTAACTAACCATGCCGGCATGTTTCAGATTGAAGGGACAGTTGTTAGCAAGAGACTCTTTGAGTATTGTCCTAGCCTTAGATGAGTGGGATTGTGTTAATAAAGGGATGTGATTGTTTTAGTTCATCGTACAATGTTGCCATTTTAGTTTTTTTCTTGTATTTTGCCGAAGATTTCACACATAATGGTTTGTACAGAACTAGTACACACGACCCCACACATAGACTCATAGTTTCAGATCAGAAGCGGCTCATATAGCAGGGAAAAAATATACACCCTCTCTGACCTCTCTTATGAAGTGTCCTTGGTGCATGACAAATGTAAGCGTCATTGTAATTGTGCCTTCCCCCCATGCTGTATAGTCCCAGCCAAGATTTTAAGTGAAGAAAATAAAGGTATTTGTTTTTATAATTTACTGCACATTCTGGGTGTATATGTTTCCTCACTATGTGAGCTTCTGAGCTAATAGAGTCAGTGTTACACAGGTTCAAATCCAGTGTTAGCCCAAGTGCATATCAGTAGTATGAAAATCCTCACCAGCCACCCTTAACACCGTTTTTGTATACAGACTCGTAGTATAACGCATATTAAAAACATAAAGTTACTGACAACCACATATTAAATAAAACACACAGATTCACAACTACCCATTAAAAAGTACACAGTGACTAACATGTAGCAAGTAAAACATTGTCACTTTCATCCACTCAATAAAAACCCCGCTACTGATAACCATATACTAAAAATAGGCTAACATAAATCACAACTTATTTGCAGACACTTAAATGAAGAAACTCAGTGACACACTAAAGAACTCTCACATATGTACACTAAAACAAACTGAACAACTACAGTCACATATTAAACAAACGGGCTCACAATTACAGCCACCCACTAAAACAGTAAAACTAAAACAAGTACACTATCAAAAAACAGACCCTCTCTCAACCAAAGAGTAAAACCACGATTCACTCACAGCCACAGTGGTAGCAAAAGTGACCTGTTTGCTGTGAGCTGGTCTTTCCTATGTAGCCATGATCCACCCACAACAACAGACACATAGCAAATGTCATCTTACAATTATTCATGAAATGACACTCAACTAATAAAGTTAATATATTACAGGATTCTACTTGCCAGCTGCTCAAGTGTCTGTGAATGCATACACATATTTTTGCAGGATGTCAGTGGTTAACATGCATGGGCAATTCTGTATGGACAATTACAGTATGTGAATCCATCTTACAGAGTATGAATCCAAGGGTTTATCTGTATGCAGTTCCTGTGTATTTAGGCTGTATTTGAACTGAGTGTCAGTGTGTCTAAATGCAGGAGTATATTTGTGTAGAGTGTCAATGTTTATGTATGTGTACATTTGTGTGGAGGGTTAGTGTGTGTGGTTTTGTGTGTGTCAATGCATGAGCTTATCTGTGAAGAGTGTCAATGTTTATGTATGGCGGGATATTTGTGTGGAGGGTTAGTTTGTGTGTATGTTTGTTTCTGTGTGCATTTATGAATAAGAGTGCAGATGTGTATTTCATTGCATTTGTACTTTTAGACTTCCTGGTCTCCCAACTATTTATTCATCTCTTCTTAGAAACATAGAAACATAGAATGTGACGGCAGATAAGAACCATTCGGCCCATCTAGTCTGCCCAAATTTTCTAAATACTTTCATTAGTCCCTAGTCTTATCTTATAGTTAGGATAGCCTTATGCCTATCCCACGCATGCTTAAACTCCTTTACTGTGTTAATCTCTACCACTTCAGCTGGAAGGCTATTCCATGCATCCACTACCCTCTCAGTAAAGTAATACTTCCTGATATTATTTTTAAACCTTTGTCCCTCTAATTTAAGACTATGTCCTCTTGTTGTGGTAGTTTTTCTTCTTTTAAATATGGTCTCCTCCTTTACTGTGTTGATTATTCTTGATACTGTATATCTCTCCTTTTGTCCCCTGTGTCTTTCTATCTTCAATGTTGCACTGTATATATTTCCCATTTGTGTCTCTTTTTGTTCTACCCACTTGTTTTCATCTCCCATCTCTCCCACTTGTATTACTCTCTCCATCTCGCCGATTTGTGTCTCTCTCTCCATCATCCCCCAAATGTCACACTTCTCTCTCTCTCTCTTCACGCTGGTTTACATTCACATAAAACACAGAATTAGGAATATACACAATACCATCGTTTTTTGATAGATTAATAACATGGCACAAAATGATGTCCAGGACAATACCAAAATTGGACATATGGTAACAGCTGCCCATGACTGCCCACTGCAAACCACACGATTTGGGAACTGGAGAGCTGTTTTAAAATTATTTCCAGTGCTGTTTTTTTTTTTTTTATCCCTAGTCCAGACCTAGATGTCAGCCCCCATGTGAAGATGACATTTAAATACAGAGTTTACTGCCTTAAGCCTGGCAACCTCTCTGCAAATTGGCATCAGTCCACACTCCACAGAAAAACACATTTTAAAAATGAAATCTAAAATTAATAGAATATACATTTATAAAATGGAACTATTTACGAAGCTGTGTTATGAAAGCATTTAAGTAGGGGTTAATCAGTAATTATTCTATTGTCCTGAAAGTACACGTTGTCCTATAAACTCGTAGGAATATACTGTACTTTTGGCACTCCTTGAGTTGTATACTGCTGGCATGAACAGCTACATTTCAAACCAGAGGGAGACATTGCTGAGGATCTGGGGGACTTATTGAACTATCAGCAGATTCAATTTGCACGTAGCACTTTCTCACCAATACCAGTGTAAATGCACAATACTTGGGGGTTGTGGGAGAGGGACGATTTAAAATACATGTTTTATTATTGATTTAATAAATACTGCACTGTAAAGGTTATTTGAGTGCACTTTATTCCATATTTGTCAGGTTTTTATTATACATATTGGAGTGTGAAGGATGCACAAGTAGGAAGAGCTCCTCATGCGACATTGTGTATAATAATATTATATCTACATATTGTTCAGTTTGTGTAGCAATGTATCTGCTAAGATAGGCTTTGTTAAGATGTGTATGTTTTGTGTCTCAGAATTGTATTTTTATTACCTGTGCGGGGTTGTCTGGTTCTGTCTTCGGTTTCTGGCAATCCTGCACTGATGAGAATTTTTTGCAAATCCTCATACCTTTCGGTGATATCAAGACGGCCTTCAATTGTATCCCCCTTTTTACACTCATCTAAGGGAGTATAAATAGATGGGTCCCTTCCCCATGGGTTCCTATGGCGCAAAACCCCAGGAACCCAAACTTCATTTAAGTCTCCATCCTTGGAGTATATGGAAGGATCCATTATTAGCTGGTCCAGGGACAACTGAAAAATAGACATGAACATAGGTGGAAGATAGAACAACAACAACAATAATAATAACAATAATTATCTATCATCTATTACCTCAGTCCTCCCGCGCAATGCTGTGGGGAGCGTTGCCATGGGAACGCGCGGTAACGCTCCCCACAGCCTGCTCGCGGGAGGATCGTTCTTCTGGCCAGATCCCTCCCCTTGCCGGCTGCCTCCAGGTCCTCGGAAGCAGATTGCATTGATGCCGGCGACCTATGGCCGCGTGCCCACAGAAGGGGCACGGCGTGCCACAGGTTCGCCACCACTGATCTATTATTACACACACAGAAAAAAAAGAAAATCGGCAAAAGGATTCTGCAGTCTACAAGAACGTATCCTCTGCCTAGATATATTTTTCTGAGAAGCACTTGTTAAATAGTAAAATGAAGCTGACAGAGAAGCACTACCACTTAATCAGCTTAAGAGAATGAACAGATAGGTTGAAAACTTAGAGACAGAGTGACAAGTGTAGCAGAGACAAGGTGAATGAGAAAGACATAGAAACAGCTGTTGTTACTCACCATTACAGCTCTTCTCCTGAAATACAAGCAAACGTTAGTTATTGTCACTTTATTGCTGATAACTCAAATACTCTAGGTCTAGGACTTTGTGGAATTTACTAAACATAGTAAAAAAACAAACTAGCCATTCTGTAATAATCTACACATGGATGATTATAAAAAGAAACACACATATTCACATTTTTATGTATTTTTTTTTTTTTTTGCAGACAAGCAACTTCTCTCCACATACACACACAGTATGATGGATTCCCTGTACCACAGTTAAACTCTAATAAACAAAATATTAAGTCAAACTGGATTGGTGAATGGCGATTAATTTCAGAGAATATAACCAGAAAAAAAAAAAGAAAAAAAAAACTAAACAAAATAAAAATGAGATATGTTAAGATATTTCCACTTTATAGCATACCAACATAAGAATTAAATATTATCCTCACCTCAAAGAGTATGACAAATAACAGCAACAGGTATATGGAGTTTGCTGAAACAGATTCCGACAGAAAGAGCTCTCAAGGATTAGAACGTCTCTTTAAATCCTGCTCCCTCTCAAACCCTCCCCCCTACAGGCTTTCGTTGAGCTGCTCCCAGCTGTCACTCAGCTACTAGCATATCTATGGATAAGCAGGCCAGCAGTCCCCATCAATCACTTTATGTGTGTAACAGGGTTATGACTTATTCCATGACACAGAGTAATTGCGCCCTTGCAATTTTTATTTATTTTACTGGACTATGTGCTGTTGCTGAGGTTGTAAAACATTTATTGAATGTGTACTAGCAATTCCTGTAGCAGTGGTACAATCCTACAATACTATTTGTTTACTGTACACAAGACCCCTGCAATAAAGAACATTATGAATACTGTGCATAAATAATACTTCTTGGACAAAGTGCATAATGAGTATTAATCTGGAGAATAATTACCTGCCTTACATTTATTTCACAATAAGCAAGCATTATGATCGGATCTGCTTTGTATACATATAACCCTTTTTTGTATTTTTTGGGTCTTAGATAGAGTTCTGTATAAATATGGTTTGCCTCGATTTTTTTTTCTCAATAAGTGTTATGACCTGATTTCTTATTTATGCTTATGTCCCTCCATTATTCTTCACAAAGGGTCAAGCATGCATGTGTAGCCTTAGAAATTAAAGGCTCGCTTCCAAGGTTGTCAGGGAATATCTGCTGAGGCTGTGTTATTAAACAACGGTGTATAGATATTAGCAGCATCAAAATACAGATACATTTCCAATCCTGCCATTATTTGTTATCCTGCCTAGCACTTCTTTTTTTTTTAAATCACAACTTTTTAAAAACTAAAAAAAAAAAAAGATTTTTAAAAACACTGATAGCTATTAGTAGTGTACTTCAATCAACGAAAACCAAACCAAGTGGTACACACAAAATTAGAAACGTTTGTGAGAAAGTAGAGGGCTATTTGTTAAAAATAATGCATATACTATGCATATATTTATAGTGATTCAGAGAGTACAGACAGTGAGAATTTTAGAACAGGACCCTAGATTTCTAGGATTTTTTTTAGCGGTAGAGTCAGGCCAAAGAGAACCCAGAGTGGGAGGAAGAAACTCAGGGGCAACCATAACAGAGACATACAGGGCGTATATGTTGGCGGAGACAATAGTGGTTAACATTTCATCTAAAGTCCTAGCAGACGTCCAGGAGCAAGTACGACAGAAAGGTATGGGGTGTTTGTAAGTTTTTAATGGAGATAAATAAACAGTGGACACAGAGCTAAACAACTTCTTTAGAACACAAATATTAAACGTTTTTGTTGTTGTGGGTAGATACTACCACCGACCGCCTGGCCGGTTAATTGGACCAGATGTAAGAAGGTGAGTAATTTCACCCCACCACAGTCTAACATCTTAGATGATGCATACATAAAGCTTGTAGAGAAATACAAAGATAAATTGAATTGGACAAAACACAACAAAATGTTTAATCTTACAAAGGCAGAAAAACAAGCTCTTAAATCCCTGGAGAGGGATGTGTCCATAACAATGACGTCAGTCAATAAAAGTGGGGCTTTGGTTGTTTTAGATGCTCATGAGTATGATTTGGAGGTTTAAAGACAGTTATCCAATAGAGATACCTATTGTAGATTAACAAGGAACCAATTAAACGACAAATCCTAAGTGCCGGGTCTCAATGGCGACCAAATAGTTTGCTTAGGCGCCTGGGATTTATCAGTTCTTTGGCTAAAGCGGCTGGCTGGGGGAACAATGGAGCCAACCGGTTGTCCTGGGGAGCATGGAGGTGGCTGATTCAGGAAGCATTGTAACCGGCCGTTCTGGACAACATGGAGGCGGCCACACTGGGCTGCATGAAGGAGGCAGGCTGGGGCAGCGTGCAAGGGAGCAGTAATCTTCCTGCACTTCCTCTCTGCTCCCTCGAGCTATATAGTGATGCCAGATATGACGTCACTCTGGCCCGTTAACACTACAGAGAGCAGAAAGGAACTGCCGGTAGATTGCTGCTACCATGCACACAGAAAGAGAGATCAGCCCCACTGGACCCCAGGGAAAGATCCACTCAGTTCCCCCAAAGGTAGGGAGGCTGAGTGGATTAAAATTAAGAATGTAAATTTTAGAGAGTGTGAGAAAATGTGTGTGTATGTTTGTATGTGTCTGTGTCAGTGTGTGTGTGTGTGTGTGTGTGTCAGAGTTTGTGTGTGTGTGTGTCTGTCAATGTGTGCATGTGTCAGAGTGTTTGCGTGGACACAAGAGATTTTCTAACTAAATTACATTATTACAAAAAGGTACAAAAAGTGACATTTCTGTGTACTATGGAGGGTGAACCGCGTCTTGGCAAAGGGTAGAGGACATTGCAGCAGTAACATTTTATAGCTTTTATACTTTTTATGTTATTTCATGCATAAATGCTTTTATATATATTTGTTTGGTAAATAAATAGGTATTCTTTACATATACCTCTATCCTGATGCTTTCTCTGGTTCCTGGATTTAAAGGGGAAGTGTCACCCCAAAAGTTGACAGAATACAAATATACTCAGAGCCAGGTTTACAGACTCTGAAGAAGGTGAGCAAGTTTTACTTAAGTTCTCTATGAATTATTATGATTATGATAAAAAATACACCTAGATTTTATTACAATGAATTTTTTCTGGGTAGTGGATATCAAAATCTGGAAATCCCTTTGAAAAGTCAGAGAGTAAAAAGGTCTGGTTGCCACATGGGAAGTGAACACAAGTGTGTTGTTTAGAGCCTATATCTTAAAAGGCTCTGTAAAATGTGAGTTTGGAGACGATATAGATAACATCAACACACATCATAACAGTGTTACACTATTTGTGTTTTTTCTTCTTTTTATTCATACATAACACTATCCCCCTACATCTGCTTTAAAGGGGTAAGTGCTTTACTAATTTTATAGCGCTACCCTCACACATATTGAGTACAGATGCCGCTTTACAGTATGATTTTAGCGAGGTCCCTATAATGACCTATAAAAATTACATGATTTTGCTATTTCATGACGAAAAGTCATGATTTTATGAAAGGCACGGAGGCGAGTATTGCATATCCCTTTCTTTACTGTCCACCAATAGCAGCAAAGGATACAAACAGTAAGAAACAGCAACCATAGAGATAAGACACTCCCGTATCAAGTCCCAGTATAATAGGCAGCACCTCCCCACCCAATTCCTCTTTCTTTGGAGATGCTACCCGCCAACAGCAAACAGGAAACCAGGAACAGTCCAGAACTAGAAGGGCAAGGGCCCAAAGTCCATCCGGATACTTGATCAGAAGACGCCCAATAACAGGGACAAAACCAGGAACGAATGACGAAACGTTAACGTTAACCACCGAACTCCAGCTAACTTGGAGAAGTCCTGTGTAGAGAGATGCACTTCATGCGATGCACCCAGAAGTGAGTCAACCTGTGAAAACATAATGACAGGAGCCCAAAGGTTAAATCGGTACTAACACCATTTGCACATGCCAAGATACGATACATTGGAAATCAAGCCATCTCTTAGTGTCCCCCCATTCCTACTTAAGTCAAGAATCCCCAGGTATGTGTAGTGTCATGATTCAGATGTACATATAAGTCATACGTGATGGAGCGCAATGCTATACTTACCGCCCTAAACGAGATATAACAGGGGGGGAAAAAGGTTATATAAATAAGTAAAAGGGAGGGGCAATACTCGCCTCCGTGTCTTTCATAAAATCATGACTTTTCATCATGAAATAGCAAAATCATGTAATTTTATGTCAAGACACGGAGGCTCATATTGCAAGTTTAAAGCTGAGCAATGACCGACGAGAAAACGTGTGGCTGAGGTCGAAAGTAGAATTCCTTGAAGTTGGATTCTCTGGACCAGTCCGCCATCCTCATAAGGTCTTCCAGGCGTGCCCCCGAAGAGGCCATAGAAGTGGCTGAAGCCCCACGTGTGGAGTGGGCGCTAAAAATGGATGTGTCCACGCCCGCCTGCGACATAATCCACTTCACCCAACGAGCCAGAGTCGTGCTGGATACTGGAGCGAAGGGTTGACGGATTGAGAGGAAAGGTTGAGGAGTTGAAGTTGACCGATGGGCCTTCGTCCGAAGTTCGTATTCTCTCAAATAGGTCACTGGGCACAACATAGGGGTAGTCGGAAAACTCGGGTACGAGACTAAACGTATGGCCGTCTTAGTCCTTCTGGAGATATTGAATGTCACCCCGTCCGGGGTGAAGGATCTCGCATCATGATCCAGGGCACATACCTCTGAGACTCATTTGCACGAAATGAGGCAGAACAGGCATACCAACGTGGCAGAGGGTTGTTGTAGGGTGAGGTCCGAGTTGGGCGGCCAGGAGGAAAACAGTGATAGGACGCAGGAGACGTCCCATGTGGCTGTGTATCGAGGTCTGGGGGAACGCAAGAGGCGTGAACCCTTGAGTAAGCGGCACACCAAGGGATGTTGGCCCGCTGGGCAGCCGTTGAAAACATGATGAGCTGAGGAGATGGCCGATTTGTATAGGTTAATCGTGCGATATGCTCGACCCGCTTCATATAATGATGTGAGGAACTGGAGTATCGCTGTCACAGGAGCCGCCACGGGATCCAGGTTCCTAGCCAGGCACCAACCAGTCCAAGCTCTCCAAGCGGTCCCGTATGAGCGTCTAGTGCCGGGAGCCCATGCGTCAGCCAGTAGGCGTCGAGTTGTGTCCGAAACTCCTTGGACTTCCCAGGGACCCCTGAAATCCTCCATGCGAATAGCCGTAACGATCCGTCCAGTAGGAGGGGATGTTGTTGGCCCAACGGGTTCAGCAGAAGGTCCCGGTTGGACGGCAGGAGTGCGGGAACGTCTATTGCCAGTTCCAGGAGTTGTGGGAACCACGACTGGGTACCCCAGAATGGGGTTAGCAGGACCACGTCTGGTGTCGTACTTGGAGTAGCACTCGGGGAAGCATGGCAAATGGAGGGAAAGCGTAAAGGTGTGAGCCGGACCATTCCTGTAGGAAGGCGTCTACTGCTTCCGCGGTCGGGTCTGGGCGCCAGCTGTAGAACCGGGGTAGTTGGGCGTTGAGC